CTCCTGGATATACAGAGTTTTTTTCTTAAAAATAAATGCTTAGAGAATGTCTTTAGGTGCTTTTTTACTAGTCTTGTTTTGTAAATATTCACTATTAGATAGTTTATATTTTTAATTTTCTTTGCTCTAGATTTTTTTTTTTCTTTTTTTTTTTGTTCAATATCTCTTTTTCATTATCTACTCTTTTGTTTAACACTTACACAGTACTTTGGAAATCATGTTTTATAGTTCATGTCTGTATTCAAAGTCACAAAGTTTGTCTTTTTTGAGCCAATAATTATTTTCACTTTATTTAAGGAAAATTCTTTAAAAAAATTTAAAATTTGTTTTTTGAAATATTGATGATGCTAGTGCTTTTGATAATATATAGTTATCAGTGCCAATGCAATGTATATCGATATAAAATAAAAATAAAAATAAAGTTTACTGCATAATAAAAACAAATATTGAAAAGCATAACATGGCAAGACAGCTATCATGTGACTTATGATAAGCTATACCGAATAAGAAGCATGAGATTTAATGAGTGGAGAAAGTACAAGTATATATGTATGTATTGTTGGCACTACTATGTCTAAAGATATGCTGTGTATATTTGTACACGCAGGCTTAAGGTATACAATATCAGTCTAATTACAAACATAGTGCATATAATATAGTGATAATCACTAATCAAGGTTTTTTATAGTAAAAAGTTTTCTGGTCAATTTTTAATAGTAAAGACTATAAGAAATATCTTTTAATTTCTCGCGTAATATTTAATATTGCTTAACCTTATAAGCAAAAAATGTTTAATGAAAGATATCTTCACATAGTAATAATACTGGAATTTTGTTTTACTAGAAAAATACATTTTTTTCATGAGTATCAAATTTTTTTCATAGGTACCAAATTTAGTCATATGATAGATTAAGTTGTATAAGTAGTACAAGTAGATAATGATAGCGATTGAGGTACTTAAACTTATATTCAATATTTCACTTTTCTTTCTAAAATTTAACAATTAATTTTAGAAGTAAATTTCTCTACAAGTGCTTTTACATTATGAAAACGTTGTTGAATAAATCTGTCAAGTATAATTAAAATATAATAAAAGGTATTTATTACCCTTATAAATATAATATATGCACATTTTTAAAAAATTTTTAAGAAATAATACTATTCAACTACAAGATCTAACACTTATTTATTAATTAAAATTATTTAGATCACAATAAGAAGTTAAGTATAGTCATTCTTCCATACAATCACATAGTTAAGCACATAGTAAATTTTGTTGAAAATATGCTTTTATGCTTATATGGAGGTTTTTTACTTATAAATTAAAGTATAGTTTGGTCTAAATAAAATGTGATTACATATGATATAATTGTATGGGAGGTGACTATATAGAGGGTTGACTGTACTTGTTACTAAAGCTATTAAAGTAATATTGATTTAAAAAAATTAATATATATTTACTATTAAAAATAAATATTTATTTAGATTGTTATATATAAATTAATTTTTACATCTCCAATTAAGAAAGCTATTAAGAATTTCATATACTTTTTCTTTATTAGAAACTTCACTATTTTTTAACTATATATTAACTCTCAAATTTCTAGTATTTTGTTAAATATTTCATAATATATCTTGTAAGATTTCTTGAACACCATCATCCAAACTAGAGAGCTGAATGCATGATTCTTGTAGCTGAATATTCATATTTGGATGAACCTTTATATTATATTGATTAAATAGTTCCTCAAGTTGTTGCTGATAGACTGTGATACACTATATATGAAATTTAATAAATTCATAAATGAGAGGGAATTTAGCTAGTTCAGCCATATCAGAATCCACAAATGCATCAAATTCATCAAAAAAGTCATGCTGTGATAACACTTTTAATAATCCAAAAGTGGCTAGATATCCTTTAGACAAATCTTTTTTTAAGAGATTAGTATAAGAAATCTCTTTTGATATAGGTATTTTTAAAGAGCTTTTATTAAAGAATACTTTCAAGAAAGTACAAGCAAATTCAGATTCACTTTCACTACCTAATTGACAAATACATAAAGGTAAGTGAGTTCAAGTTTCCATCCATTTAATAAAACTATTTAATATATTTTCTATTCAAGTATATAATGATTCACAAAAATTTTCCAAATCTATTATACTCAACTCACGTTTAGCATTAGCTAATTCATCTCCAAATAACTTATTTAGGTCTTTTAGATAATTTTAAAGCTCTTGAATCTATAAAATTACTCTCTCAGGCATTTCATGTGCCTAATTTTCTAATAGTAGAACAGTATATATATTATTTTGTTGATGAATACATGGAATTGGATCATGGCCAACTAAAAAATTATTATAAAAATTTTGACCAAACTTAACCAAATAATGTATTTGGAGGTTAAGCCATTTATCTGTTAACCACTTAAAGAATATTTGTCACTTATATAAGTATGATTTTGGAATATTCTTGGCACTTTCAAGTTGCTCAATAAAAAACCTTGCAAAGAAAATATGAACTTTGCATCTATTAAGGTATTGTTTGCAGTTTTAAGTTCATATAACTACCATTGATGTATAGATTGTTGTTACTTATTCATTTCAAAACTAAACATTATTTTATAGAGCTTTTGAAATATTTTGGATTTTAGATTTAATTAATGATAATCCTCTAACAGCATCTAACTTTCCAAATGCTGTATTTTTAAAATTTGTTAGAGCAATATGAGTCACATACAATCCACAAGGAACTCAAAAAGATTTATATGTTGATAATGAGTTGAATTTGGCAACAGGTCCATTTAATTCTGAAGACATATAGGCCATGTTATCAGTTAGCCAAAAATAACATCTCTGGGGTTTATACCTTTTTGTTGATATGTTTCAAATACTATAGTTAAAACTATTTTAGTATTGCAATACATTAGGTCTGTTAATTTTACTACAGTAATTACAAGTTTTTCTTTAATATTATTTCAATATGAAAAACAGATAACTAGTACTTTTTTTTCTCCTTTAGTGCTTTCATCAACTATAATAGCATAGCTAAAAAATCTGAAACAAGCATTTATAGGATGGTTTTGGTCAAAGAACAAAGCTGCCATTTCACTGTTCCATTGTGCTAAAGTGCTTGGCATTACCCACTACTATGGTGCTTTTCCTGTTAAAAATTGGTAGAAGGCTTTAGTGCATTCTACTATTGCACATATAAAGATTTGTTCAATGTTACTACTAACTTTACAAACTTTGTACTATATTATTTATTATTAGCTTTAAACAATTTATCAGCTGCATGTTAAAATTGGGCAGGTTGAATTTGCTTTGCTTTATGAATAGCAGCTCAAATTTTTGAAATTTGCTTTTGTTTTGTTTGTTTTGCTTTTGTTAATCATATAGAAAGTATTAAATTTGTTTAGTTGTGATATTTTTATATTTTCTTAAACGATTATCCTCTTGTTTTAAATTTTTATTTTAGAATTTTAGTGTACAAATACCACTATCTAATTTATAAAGATTATCACTAATAAAATCTTGAGCCTTTTTTTGCAAATAGGTAGAAATTAGCACTCCTTGATAATTTTCCTGGGTATAGACTATTGTTTGAAAAAGGGTAGATGCATTGAATATTTGTTAATTAGGTAAATTGCAAATATGTATAAGCAAATTATTACATTTTCTTTGATTATGAGTTTTTATTTCCTGAGACTCAAAAACTTTTTTTATTATATAATTAAAATTACTATTATTTAATTTAGCAAATATTAATATTAGATCATCAAGTAATGCTTTTTGTTGTTCACAATTTCGTGAAGTTCTGCTATTTTTAAGATGCTTTTTTTGCAGATTTAGTCAACCTATTGGAGTATAAGAGAATTTTGGTTTAGAAAAATTCTTATTGTATTTGGATATAATAAGTTTTTGAAAATTTTAATTTTAATTTAGATAATTAGGTCGTTTAAAAGTGCAGTAGAGTTATATTTGAATATGGTAAGTTTTTAAAAATTTTTAATTTTAATTTAGATAATTAGATCATTTAAGAGTGCAGTAGGGTTATGGGATCTTTGCCTTGAAAATGACCTTACGGGTCTATGTAGATTTTATGAATAAAAATTAAAATTTCTAACTAATAATTCAATTCAAATAATTTTTTTTTATTTGTAGAACTCACTAAGCTATACAAAAATAAAAAAGTTTATTTGAATTGGATTACTGGATAGCTAGAAATTTCAATTCTTATTCATAAAATCTACATAGTCCCGTAAGGTCATTTTCAAGGCAAAGACCCCATATAATATCAGTATGATTGCAGTACAAAAAATCATAGTATTTGAATGATTATTTTTTAATGTTGCCCAAGTAAAGAAAAAAAAAGAATTTATGACTCGAACATTATATGATAAAATAACATTACGAAATTGATTTTTGAGCGATGTTTGGTTCGTGTAGACTTGATTTAGAGTTAGTTAATCCAATATTAATTATCAGCGAAATACTGTATACTAGAACTAACGATGATGACTTTTTTCATATAATAATCTACAGGTTGATTAACTTACGATAAAAGTATGAATAATAAATGACCATTAAAATAATGAATAAATGATAAGTACGGTTTAATATATATATATATATCTTTTTTTACTAATTAATCATGTTAGTTTGTTACGCCCAAAATTTGAAGCCCTAATCTATAAATAACATTATAATATCAAGGAAAAGAAAAAATAGAGTAAGATTTGTTAGCCCATAATAAAATAAAATATGATAAACAATATCAAAACAATATTAAAAATGTCGTAATTGGCGAAAGGAAAACTTATTTAAGTCTTGCGATTGTTTCAATCACCTTACAGAATACAACCTCGAAATAAAAAAAATTTCTTTTTAAAAGAATAATTAATTAAATAAAATAAAAAATGCGAATAATAGCTCTCTTATATATCTCACTAAATATTATCTTTCATATATTACTTCCATCTGTCGAATCGACTTGTACTAATATGCCTGTATATCGGGAATGTAGACAACGTGGTGAATCTATTAAATCGAAATGCGCTCCGATGGATTATATTTGTCAATGTGATGCTCTTAAAGGTAACTATAAAAAAAAGCTCATTATATGATTTATAAGATGTATTTTACAATAATTTGTCAAGTTTCTGAATAATTTTTTGTGTTATTTTATAAATAGCAATTCAACTTTGTTTCTTGCAATGTACCGACGATATAAATATTTCGAATGAAGGAAAAGCTTACGAGGTAGTTACATTTTAAATTTAAATACAATTATTTTATACAAATGTTTATTTAGTTTAATATTTTTATCACAAAACGTAGCCTGCCGTCGCTCAAATTTGTTCACTCGGTACCAGTCAAAGTCTTACAAGATATCCTATGCCTACAACCACAGTTAGCCTCGCAACCACATCATCGACCCCTCCAAGTTTAACCAAGAATAATATGTCTGCAACACAAAATTCTTTATCAAAAACACTGAACGCTTCGTCCACTCGTACTACTACTACTACTACACCTACTACGGCAGCCAATATAAAAAATAGTGGCGGTAGCGTAGAACGATGCTGGAATGAATTATTGATAGTCGGTGGCGTGATTGCTTTTTGGCTTTTTAATGGTATATTTTAATCGATACGATCTAACAATATGTATTGGATAATATAATAATTATCGTTATGTACCTACGTACTGTACATAAGTACATATTATGACATTTTCATAAATTATTTTTAGAGCAAGCATTAAAATTGTTAGTCGCTGCATAACAGATTTAAACGAGTGTTATGTTAAGTTAATGCTACAACCATCTCGTTTTCTTGTCTAATCGTTTCGTTTCATTTTACTAAACGTATTATTATGTACTGTAATTTATGTTATACATTTGTAAACGATAATAAATAAATCACATCAAAATATTTCGTTGATTTTTTTAGACATATCTTACTGTAAAAAAAAAAAAACAGTAGACTTTTTTGATGTTAAAGCGAATTCTTAGTTCAAAGCTTTCCTGACTCAATATTACCTGAAAACATATTTGATGACACATTTTTCCCGACGTAAATTTTGTCAAAATATGATAAGGCCAACTATTTACTATATAAAATAGTGGTTTGACTGGTTGAAGGTGTGATGCAAAATGTAAACACTGTTTAGCACCAGTTGTAATACGTACCTTCTATTTAATAGGGCATACTTGGCCACTATATCACATTTGGATATATTTTTTATAATAAATGTATTTTGTAGTAAGAGGAATTCAATTGTTATTACAACGACAACCGAATATTTTGCATCATACAAAAAAAAAAAAATAATAAAATTTCATATATAAAAATGCAGAGATTCCATATTACAGCTGTTTTCAAAAAGGTGTGAACAAGTGATTTTTATGACATATACCCATATGGGGAACCAGGAAATTGGAAATTTAATAATAAACTTTTTTATCATTATTATAGACGGTGTCACTATCGAGGTTGGGAGAGCGTCAGTTATTGGGATGCCGGATTGGCTCAGGATAGTAAACTAACTAGGTAACTGATGGGCCAAGGCATGGGGCAATATGGGAAATTTACTCGAGTGGGAGATCTAGGGGCGGTTATATACGAACGTTGCAGATATGAAACTGAAACGTATCTGCTTAGAATTAATTTAAGAGATGCGCGTTGAGGGTCCACGATATGTTTAAGAGATGCGGGCGGATGAATTAATCCCGATTGTCAATTGTTGACGATCTATAACGGGATTGATTTAAGGTGTGATGGATAAATTTGGATAGGTTAACAATGGGAAAGGCGTGTGAACGTGAAGATGTATTCACGGCACAGGAACGAGATCGTGAAGATGTGTTCACGATATGGTAATGAGATTGTGAAGATGTATTCAGATAACAAGTCAATAAAAATAAAAATAGAAATTCAATAATTTCAACGTTAGCCTCTAATGCTAAAAGGAAGCGTGGGAATATTACAATTCAATCTAGGCTTCAATTAGCCTTAAGTATTTTAATTATAAAAGTCAAGAGAAAATGTTTGAGAGCAAAGTCTGAAGAATCTTTATTGAGGGCTGGAAAGCTGGTCCTTAAATACATAATTCTTTACATAAATAAATTAGACTATCTTATTGTCGGGACATAATTCTCCCTTCTATTTTAACACCACTTCCTTCTTCCACCAATAACACCTTTCACGGATGACTAAGAGCATTATAATAATCAAATGCCTTAAGTTCATCTTTTTACTAAACAAACACAACTTATGTGTGAATCAGATGATTCATGCATCTCATTAACATTTGTCATAGGTAACATTCTCGAATAAGTTTATTGACTATAATCGAAAAGATGATTATTGGTGTCTTTATCAAACTATTTGAAGGGGTTTGCGGATTTTCTTTTTGCCAACATGGTTAGTGAGATATTGATCTATGCAGGGTCAGATTAAAGGTGACCAATCATTATTTGAATGAATGTCAGACTACTTAGGATAGCAGCTTTGAGGCAGCTCATCATATAGAAATTGCCAATTTTAGTAACAACAACAACTTTGGATAGATGTTAAAAATGTAGAAATAGTTCTATATATACACTCATACCTGTCAGGGAGTGAACGAAAAGAAATAACAAACAAATAAAAAAAAAAAAAACAAACAAATAGAAAAGTAATACAACTGAACAAACAAATAAAAAAATAAAAAAAAATCTATGAGAGAAAAAAATTAGAAGGGAGTTGTAACAAATTCTCTATCTCAATTTCTGAGTTTTGTGAGGGTCGATTAGGTTCTGAATCACCATCAATTTGGTCATAATAAATTTTGAGGCAATTGCCATGAACCTTTTGCTTCAAAACCTTATCATCAAGAGTTCTTAGCTTATAGACACCTTTTCCAAGAACATCATGAACATAAAAAGGACCTTTCTATTTTTCTTCTAATTTTCCTTTGTGGGTCCCTTCCAATAAAGACTGATACTGGAGGACCTTATCACCTATGAAGTAACTTTTGAGTCAATATTATCTATCATGATGATTTTTCTGTCATTGCTGGGTCTTAATTGTTTTTTCCCAGGCATCGATTTGAGCTCTGGGCAAGTCCCCCAACAAAACTTCAACCCGGCAGAGAAGATTATCTGAAAGCTCTTGTTTACTAGCCGGAGAGGTCTTTGGGATAACTTTTTTAGATAAGGTGGCTTCTCTCCTATATAAGAGATAAAAGGTTCATATCAGGTCACAAAGTGTCTGGTGGTGTGATAAGCAAATAGGGCTGCCGGAAGATATTGTTCTCAATCACCTGAAAATTGCCCTATGCATTTAGCTAAAACTTCATATAAGGTGTGATTAAAGCATTCTACTAACCTGTTAGTCTGGGGTGGTAGCCAGATGAGAATCTGTAGTGCACCTGAAGTTGTGTGCAGATAGCTTTTACCAAGTGATTATTGAAGTGTTTTTCTTGGTCAGAAAGGAGCTCTCTAGGACTGCTGTGTTGGCAGATAATGTCTTTGATGAGAAATGAGGCTACTGATAAAGCTGAGGTATCCAACAAAGCATATGCCTCTGGCCATTTTGTTAAATATTCTGTGGCAACAACAATATATTTGTTACCAGTTTTAGTAAAGATTAATGGCCCAACAATGTCAATACAACATGGTTAAATAGATGTTCTATTTTGATAGGGTATAACAGTTTACAAGTTTTTTGGTCTGCCCCAATATTGGCAAACATTACACAACTAAACATATTATCAAATGTCTTCACCCAATATTCAGTGGAGTATAGAGATAACATTGAAATATCCGGATAGTGGGTCAGAATACATGCTAAAGAAAATGTGTTTAATTTTGTGAGGTAGTAAAACCTGAAAAAGTCAGTAAGGGGGTAAACGATATTTCCTATATAGTATGTTGTCTACAACTATAAAATAGTAGATACGTTGTTTTAAAAGTCTGTAAAGCTGTAGGGATAAAGTGGAGGGTAGAGCTGTTACTCAGGTCATATTGACCCGTACAGGTCAAAAATTTGACAGGTCACGGGTCAAATTTTAGTCTAACCCGGGTCAAACGGGTCAAAAATCAGATAGGTCAAACTTTATTAATTTATACGTATTCTAAAACAGGCAAATCCGCATATGCACTCTATGTATTATGATCATCATAAATATTATATTTTATAAAGCATCAATACATATCGCATTGTTTGATATAACTTAAATATTAAAAAAAAAAGTTTAACAATACACAT